GGGGGGTAGTTGTAATGTTTGTAACTGACTTTGTGACAATGACAGTAACAAACAATAAAGCACACTAGCCTATCCACTAGACTAACGACACCGCTTAATCAAGATTGGTCTGTCAAAACCTTCACGTTCAATCAGAAAAGTGAGTACACAATGACAAATCATTGAAATGTTCTTACCATGTACGTTTGACTTGCCGCCAAACGTTACGGGGAAAAATGAGTTCCTGTTCTTTCCAGCGGCATTCGAGAGAAAAGTGACGGCATAGTCCACGGTCAGAGAGTGGATGGGTTCAATGGTGATCTGGAGAGAAAAAGAAAAGAAAAATGAAAAGCCCATTCTAAGATACGGTCAACCATCCGCTGAGCTATCTTTTTTTCGCTGGGTTTAAATCACAGCAAGAAACTACTTTTTAACTGACAGAAAAGTGAAAAAGCACAAAATCTTGAGTCGAAATGGTAAGCCAAGTCGCATCAGAGCTAAAATAAATGAGAGAATATAAGACAACTGGGAAAGGCTTTCATGGAAAAAAGTACCATAGAGAAGACACAGAACAGAAGAAAATCAGTCGGCTTGGGGCTGTGAAAAGATAGCTTTTTTCTTTTCAATTTGCATAACTGGCCATTTTCCATTCCCCGTAGGAAAGAAATAGTAAAGGAGGGGAGAATATAAAAAACAAACAGAACAAAAAACCCAAAAAAACCCCTCCTCACACATGCATAGACATGCGAACAAACGAGCAGACGTGCACACATTTACCTCTGTCTTGGTAGACGTGGAGGAGAAGGAGTAGGCCACCACAGAGCGGCCCACAGACTTGGCCGTGGCGATCCCAGAGTCTCCCTCTATCTGCAGGGCGTTCGACTTGGTGTACCAGCTACCCGCCAGTCCTGATAAAAGGACCAAAAAAAAACCCATTTATTTTATTCCCGTATTTCATCACCTTGTATATTCTTTTAGTTTAAGAAGAAGTTTTACGACGCTTGCAACTGCATAAGGTCATATGAGCACCAGAAGATTAGAGGTGTTACAAGAGAGTAACAGACACAAAAAAGGAGGAGGGGAGATAAAGAAGATAGATGTTCGATAGGAAAGAAGGAGCAAACTACACCAGAGCACCCGCCAACCACCCACCGTAAAAGTTTTACAGCACTTGCAAAACAATAAGGTCGGTCATATAAATGCCGAATATTAGAGGTGTTACAAGAGAGTAACAGACACAAAAAAAGAAGGACTGGAGATATAAAGATGATAGATAGATGTCCCACCAGAGCACCGGGCCAACCACCCACAACTCACCCGTGTCCGAGAGGATGGGCGACTCAAAGCAGACGAGGGAGCCCAGAGTGACGACGACCTGAGCGGGCTCGATGGCGTAGCCCACGGGGATGTTGATGTAGTCTGCACGCGACGGCTGGCCCTTGTCCCACACCTGCAGCGATGAAGAACGTAACGCAACAACGTTTAGTTTGGTTTAGGTTTTTGTTTGTTTGTTTTAGTACGAGATTGGTTTTTGGGGTTGTTTTTTTTTATGGCACTTTTTAATCACTGTCCTTCTTTAACTTCCTTTCTTAACTCTTTAAACCCTGAGTTTTTTTCCAGTTTCCCGCAGTTTTTTCTACAGTCACCTAAACCTGGTGCACTATGTCTCATTATAACCCCAAAAGCTTGTCTCCAACTTCAAAACAGAGAAAACAAAGGCTTAGTCATTACTAAAAAACTTGGATGGGAATAGTTCCGAAAATCAAGAAGAAACTAGCACTAAATGAAACGCAACAGTTGTCTATTATCGGACCATCCCAGGTTCCAATGGGGTTTAAAGAGTTAACACTAGGAGCATCTTACTTTAATTTTAGACGGCACTTGCAACACAATAAGGTCATTTAAGTGCCGAAGATTATAGGTGTTGCATGAGATTAACAAGCACAAAAAAGAAGGAAAAGAGATAACGAAGACAGATATTTGATAAGAAAGAAGAAGCAAACCACGCTAGAGCATCCGCCAACCACCTACGAATCTTACTTTACAATAAGATAGTACAAGCTGAAGAGGAGCGCATCAAATCTTCGCCCTTCATTTACAAATGGTCCTTGCCACCTTGGTCGCTGACTGCCCCCCCCCCCCTCCATACATAAATCCCAACAGACACACACCACACAAACAGTTGCCACAAAAGGCTCACATACCTACCTCTAACAAATACCCCCCTCCCGTCCCTTCCCCTCCCCACCCATTCACACCCAAACCCACATTCACACCACCTATACACACCCACACAACCTCACACACCCTCACACTCATACACCTAAACTTACATTACCAAAGAAGTTCAAACAGCCCACAAATCAGACTCACTTTGAGCACGGTGTTCCCGACCTGGGCAGCTCTCACAAAGAGTGAGCAGCGCACGCATGAATGCACACAAAAACTCACTAACACAGACCTAAAAGTACATTAACAAAGCAGTCTAAACAGCCCACAAATCAGACTCACTTTGAGCATGGATGATGGTGTTCCCGACCTTTGCAGCTCTCACAAAGAGTGAGCACGCGCGCATGAATGCACAAAAAAAACTTACTAACACAGACATAACATTACATTACCAAAGCAGTCCAAACAGCCCACCAATCAGACTCATCTTCAGCACGATGTTCCCGACCTCGGCAGCTCTCACAATGAGTGAGCACACACACACGTACACACATACACTCTCACACCTAAACTTACATTACCAAATCACTAACACAGACCTAACATTACATTACATACCAAAGCAGAGTTCAAACAGCCCACAAATTAGACTCACCTTCAGCACAGTGTTCCCCACCTCGGCAGCTCTCACAATGAGTGTGTTGTTGTCCACACCGTTGGCGACATGGAGTAAGTCATACCTGAGGAAGGGGAGACGAAAGTTTGTGAGGGTAAACTACTAGACAATGAACACAGAGGAGTGCTTGGGTGGGGCGGCACAGTTGCAAGGGGGGAGGGGAGATGACAAGGGGGGGGGGGGGGGGGGGGGAGGGGAGAAGACGAGAGAGAGTGAGAGAGAGGGAGGGGATGGAAGGGAGAGAGAGAGGGAAAGGGAGAGAGAAAAGGAGACAGGGGGAGAGAGGAGGCGGCAATGTGAGCATAGGAGGCCCCAAGGAGGACACATTGTCTCCGCACTTTACTAACAATTTGAATATATAAATATCTTAAGCCTCAAAAGAGAAAGACAGAAAGCCGCAGACACCGCAGCAAAACAAACCTGCTGCAGCGAATTCCCAGCTGTATGTTCGTGGCGTAGAACTCCTCCCCGATGTCGTCATGGTAACTGACGGAGAACTGCAAGGAGGCTCCGATGGGCACGCTCGACAGCTGCGAGTCTGGCGCCGTGTTGATGGTGGTGTCCGCGTTGATCATGAGGTAGGACACTGGCTTCACCTGGAGACGACACACTTTGGTTTTAGAAAGAGTTTTACGGCACTTGCAACACACTTTTGTTTTAGTTTGTTTAGTTTTAGTAGAGGTTTTTCGGCACTAGCAACACAATAAGGTCATATGAGCGCCAGAAGATTAGAGGTGTTACAAGAGAGTAACAAACATTTAAAAAAGAAGAAGGGGAGATAAGGATGATAGAAGTTTGATGGGAAAGAAGAAGCAAACCACACCAGAGCACCCGCCAACCACCCACAAACAGAGAATTTCGTGTTATAAAAGTAGATTTCATGTAATGGAAAGTTGCAATACACAGAATACAGAATGCATAGAGAGAAAAAGAGAGAGACACTGAGAGAGAGAGAGAAAGAGAGAGAGGGGGGGGGGGGGGAGAGGTAGATGGAGACAGAGAAACAAAGAGAGAATGAGAGAGAGAAATACATATGGAGACAGAGAGACAGACAGAAACAGAGGATGAGACGGAGACAGAGACAGAAAGAAAGGAAGGAAGGAAGATAAGGACGACAGACGTTTGCCAAGAAAGCAGAAGAAGGAGCAGACCACACCCGACTCACCTTGACCAGGATGACCAGCGTCTGGTTGAGGCCAAACTCTTCCTCCGCCACCACGTGCAGCACGGCGCTCCCGGGGATGGGGCCAGACCGCAGCTGACCGTTGTCCAGTAGTCGCACCGCGCTGTCAGAGCTCTCTCCGAGAATGAAATAACGCACTCGGGCGGCCACATCCCTGTTGGGAGGAGATAGAAACACACAGGTCAAGAATCAGCGAGAGAGGGAGGGAAGGAGAAGGGGAAAGAGAGAGAGAGAGAGAGAGAGAGAGAGAGAGAAAGAGAGAGAGAGAGAGAGAGAGAGAGAGAGAGAGAGAGAGAGAGAGAGAGAGGTTAAGAGCAGAGAGAGGGCAGAGAGCGGGCAGTAAGGCAGCAGCTTGAGAGAGGAGGTGGGTGGGAGAAAGAAACATTACATAGACAGACAGACAGACAGACAGACAGACAAACAGAAAGACAGCCAGACAGGTCAGCTACTGAATTGTTAGCTGCAAATCTGTGGAATAACAGAAACATTTAACCATGAACAAATTATGACCAAAACAAACCAAAAAAAAGAAAGAAAAAAAGAAAGAAAAGACGGAAAAAGATAAAAGTGCTAACTGGCTATTTAAAAAAAATAATCCTGAACTTTTCAGACCCCATATAAACACACATGGAGACTCAAAATTTACGGATCATAATGTCCGATGCGTCTTGCATCAAGAAGTCGAGCAAAATTCTCACTATTTCAGAAATCCAGATTTCTCCAGAAAATCAGTACCTCTGAAAAAGCACGTTTTAATATAAACGAATCAGCATAGTTTTTGGCAGGTGGGCAAAGCCCAGTGGCTGGTAGATAATCATCACTGCCATTCCAAAGCATAGCGAAGAATCTGACAAAATCTCGAGTTGTCTGGTTTTCTTGGTCTGTTACACCTGTCCTGCCCATAAATCTCCCGTTGGCGCTCATATGACCTTATGCAGTTGCGAGCGCCGTAAAACCCTCTACTATACTAAACTAAACTAAGTAAATAAATCTCCCGTGTGTCAAAGGCAGGACAACAGAACTTATCAAATACTACTAGAGCAAATCTAAAGTCTTACGTAGAAAGCTGACCAAAAGCTAAATCCCTACCTCAGAAATACAGAGATCTATCTGACATTTTTGCTCGTTTTGAGATACTAAGCCCTTGAGGTCAGAAACCAATAAATGTTCCATCTGCTCTATCAAAACCGCAGGATTATTCAGAGTCGTTATCAAGATATTCAAAGAATACCATTAAAAAAAAAAAAAGAGCTTAACTCAAGCGTGAAACTCAAAATTTTTTCTGCAAATTTCTCAAAGCTGGGTGCTTAGCAAAGATAAAACTTTGTCATTCTAGGGTAGCGAAACAGAGAGGACACAAAAATCCACGCTCTCACCTGTTGGTCTTGAGGAAAGTATCCGTGTTGGGAGTGATCCGCACCTGACCGTCACAAACAGCCGGGCTCAGCAAAGACAGCTCTTCAAACACCTGAAACAGACAAGGTCACGGAATAGTTAGAGCCGAGACACTACTTGCTTGAAGGGGGCGGCTTCTTCCTCTCCTCTGAAGATATCGCACTGTTTTGGCTCGCTCCACAAGTTTTCTCCCACAACCACACAGCATTGACATGGAACAAGCCACCTTGCCTCAGAGCTTGGGTCTGTCTACACATGAAAGAACAATATAACCAAACGTGCCAAACGGCTATGAAAAAAAATCCTGAACTTTTTGGACCCACTGGAAACGCACACACGTGGACTTAAAATTTACAGATCGTATTGTTTAATACATCTTGTTTCAGAATGTTTTTATATATCATAGTGCATAGTGCATTATTCAGATAATTCTAGAAATCCAGATCTTCAGGGGGGCTCTCGTGGCCTAGAGGTTAAGGTGTTGGCCTCTCATTCAAAGGTCCCAGGTTCGAATCCGGGTAGCGACAGAAAAATTTTCTTCTCTAAAATTGTCTCCTTTCACGTCCTTTCCTGCTCTCTAGCAATGCTCTGTCGTCTGCTTTCAATTCCACTTTCTGCCCCCACCCCCGCACCTCCTTTGCCCCCTCCTCTGGGCTCCTGGCTCTTTCTGCAGCCTTTCTACTGCTACTCCTTGGCTCCTCCTTACTGCTGTCTTTCTGCCACACCCCTGATCTTCTGGTGGAAAAGATCTACACCTAGCCTTCTCGGACAAGGGCGAAAAATCTCGGAGGGCCCGTGTGCAAGTTGCGCACGTTAAAGATCCCTTGGTGGTCTAAAATCGATAAGAGTAGGCTTCGGCCGCCACCCGGGCAAAATTCAAAATTTCCTACCAACTGAAAATATTAGGTGTGTCCCGTGCGCTCATATGACCTTATGCAGTTGCGAGCGCCGTAAAACACTTTACAAAAACAAAAAGATCTTCAGATTTATCCGGAAAATCAACACCTCTGATCTTAAGTTGTAAAATAAACTAATCTGCATGACTTTTTTCAGTTTCAGTACGAGTTTCACGCCACTTGCAACACAAATATTGTTTGGTTGTTGGGAGTAAAAAGATGCACATTGAGTGTGGCACAAGAAGAAAAGTCATATCGTGCAGGGAAAGACAAAGACAGACAGACAGAGAGAAACATCAGAAGCAAAGAAAAGAAGTATTAGAAATAGGACCTACCAACGGCTTCCTGCAATCCCCCGCCCCTTCCTCTGCATTTAAGACCTTTAGGTTAAATAATAATAATAATAAATTTCACTCATACAGCATATTTCCACAAAGAAAGTTCACAATGTGCTTTACAATAATACAAAAAACACAAACACCATACGGTTATAATAGATACATGTGCCACACGCACATGCAAGCATACACACCCACACCCATACGCACAAACACACACATACACACCCACACACAAATAATACAAAGAACACAAGCACAATGCAGTTATAATAGATACATGTGCCACACGCACATGCAAGCATACACACTCACACCCACACGCACAAACACACACATACACACCCACACACAAATAATACAAAGAACATAAGTACAATGCGGTTATAATAGATACATGTGCCACACGCACATGCAAGCATACACACTCACACCCACACGCACAAACACACACATACACACCCACACACAAAATCACCTGTATTTGTTCCTCATCGTACAACACATCCCCAGCCGGTAGCTGTAGACGGCTGTCTGGTTTGGCGCGCACTTCCAATTTCAAGGTGGCATGGCCAGTTTCCCTGGCAAATACTTGCTGGGCAAAATTGTTCTCTGGCGGCTGGGTAATTTTACTCTGAAGAAACACGAACAGATTAAGTTACACCTAAAATTAGTTTTTAGTTTTAGTGAGAGTTTTACGGCACTTGCAACACAATAAGGTCATATAAGTGCCGAAGATTAGAGGTGTTACAAGAGAGTAACAAACACGAAAAAGAAGGAGGGGAGATAAGGACGATAGATGATTTGATCGGAAAGAAAAAGCAAACCACACCAGAGCACCCACCAACCACCCACTCCCCCAACCGTGAGTAGACATGACGAGCAGTTGCCTCAACATCAGCACGTCACTAAAACAAGCTGCAGATTCCAACACCCAAGCTTTAAAATCAAAAAGAATATATATTCAACATGTACCATCTTGAATCGGAACCGGCGTTGAGATCAATTTTCTGGCTAAACATAAACTAGCGGGGGCCTAGTAGTCCCACGGTGAGCAAATTCATTCATTTTTGGTCGAGATTTTACGGCGCTCACAACTGCATACGGTCCTATGGGCATGTCCCAGAGTTAGCCAAATTATCCACCAGTCTAGACAAAAAGGGGTAAGGGAGCCACCAATAATGGCGAGTCTTTGTTTGTGAATTTTTGTTGCTTTTGTATGACGAACAGCTAAATTTTGTATGATCTGTACTCAACTGACCAAGAAGTGACAAACCTAGTGAAATTTCCCAAAACGAAGAACAAAATGGGTTTTTACTCTAATTTCTTTCAGTATGATGTTTTAGTTTAGTTCCAGTAACAGTTTTTTTGTAGTTTTTTTTTGTAAGAGTTTTACCGCACTTGCAACACAATAAGGTCATATAAGTGCCGAAGATTAGATGTGTTACAAGAGAGTAACAAACACAAAATAGAAGGAGGGGAGAAAAGAACGACAGATATTTGATAGGAAAGAAGGAGCAAACCACACCAGAGCACCCACCAACCACCCAAAGTAACAGTTTTACGGTATTTGCAACACAATAAGGTCATTAAGTGCCGAACAATAGATTATGTGTAACAAGAGAGTAACAAACACAAAAAAGGAGGAGGAGAGATAAGGACGACAGATATTTGAAAGAAGGGGCAAACAAGACCATAGTACCCGCCAACCACCCACTCAGAATGATGTTTAAGTTAGTCTTATGGCACTTGAAACACAATAAGGTCAAATAAGTGCAAAAGATAAAAAGAGCTGCTAGAGAGTAGCAAAAACAAAAAAAGGAGGAGAGATAAGGACGATGGATGTTTGATAGGAAATGAAAAAAGCAAACCACACCAAAGCACCCATCTGAGAGGGCATACACTGAACATATTCCGACATGAGATAAAACATCAGTCAGTGAAGAGTTCCAAATCTAAGTCTATCTTCTAGTTTGTCCTTTTTACCTTGCTGTACACAGACTGCAGCTGAAGAACTTCTTTGCTGTTTGCCGACCAGGAAAACACCAGGGGGGGAACGGCGTTGCCAAATGTGAACGGTGTCTCGTGATCAGTGAGGCCTATGGCATACACTGGCATCTAATAAAAAGAAAGAAAAAAACACCACATTATAACAATCTAACCTTAACACAACAATAGCAGTTTTGTTTTACAAGGCAGAATAATATTGAAATTCTTTGCAGAAAGTAATATCCAATATAAATTCTATATGTGAGGCAGCGTGATGGAATCAGGCTCTCGTCAATTTTTGGGCGTGTAGAGTTATTGGTATCATCTTATAGCTTGTTCACTTGTCTTTATTTGGGTGAAAAAAATATCCATTTATCTTGAATACAAGTTGAGATATTTGCGAATGAAGGTGGGGTTACCTGTTTTCAGAGGTAAAATTAGTGAGAAAATGGCCGCCAAAGATTAGTTATTTCCTTAGCTTAAGAGTCGGTGGTAACAGAAAATTTACATTTTTTGTGCTTTTAATCAACGTTTTTCAGAAAAATCCACACAGAAATTAGTTCTTTAATGGGCATGAAACGTGTTGAGCCAAAAAACAAAAATTTGATAAAAATTCACAAATCTGTGGAAAAATTAGTTTCTTCACTTTGATAATTTTGACGAGAGCCTGATTCCACCACGCTGCCTCACATATGTACATTTGCATGTGTTCTTGCCATTCCTGTTCAGCCACAGAAAATTTCCCCCACAGGGTCAATAAAGTATTATCTTATCTTAATAATGGCTGTAAAAAATCCCCCCCCCCCCCCTTCCCCCGTCACACACACACAATAATGAAAGCATCCTACCTTTGTGCCAGTCTGGAGACGAGTCAGCGGAGCGTAGATACGGATTCCTCTCAACATGACCACATTCACCACAGCATCATCCTGAAAACAGGTGAAAATTTAAATAAGAAAACCACGGCTAAATAACTGTATCATGTCGGTGAGGTAGGCTTCTCTTATTTCCTCATCTACAACTCGTCAACAAAATCAATGCTTCCGCTAAATGCTCTATGTTGAAAACTTTCTTTGATGGCATAAGACAACAAAGAAGGAGCAAACCACACTAGAGCACCCGCCAACTACCCACCAAGACAGCTTTGTTAAACGACGAGTCCTTTGTCCAAAAAATTCTTAATGGCTCATCATCAAAAGCCAGAGCCACGACACACATCAGCAACCATGGCTCTCCATGAGTTCCTTTGCTTAGATGCTCTCAAAAAAGCTACATTATCCTGACCCCCCCCCCCCCCCCCCCCAATCTGTTTATGCTCTCCAGGTAGGTTGCTCAGAGTCTACCCCTGCCTCAAATCCTTCCATTTTGCCAGTGAGAGCTAGATGTTCCAGATCTTTATGTTTATTCCAGTGTTTCAGAAACTGTATTTGTTTGTTCTTGATTGTTTTAATCAGCCAGCAGCCCAAGTCAGCCTTTTCAAAAACTACCTCATTTTTTTTTTTTTTTTCGTTTTTAGTTTTAGTAGAGGTTTTACGGCGCTCTCAACTCCATAAGGTCATACGTGCGCCAGAAGATTAGAGGTTTTACAAGAGAGTAACAAACATAAAAAAGAAGAAGAGGAGATAAGGACGATAGAGAAAGAAAAAGCAAATCTTTGATTTTTTAATGGGAGCTACCTGAGAGTACCCCCATAAAATTTTTTAGAATTGTCATACAGTTTTGAAAGAAGACAACAAACAAAATTTTTAAAAACCCAACAAATTAGTGCACTCGTCTCCGAAGCAGAAAGTTTGGGTTTGGATGCGGGACCAACTTTACTTTACCTGAGAGTAAACGACCATCTCGCCGGTGATGGAGTCGGTGCCGATGGCCTTCCCGACCACAGTGGTGGTGCCCAGCTCTAGGGCCTCCAGCATCCCGCCGCTGGTCACACTGGACACCTGGCGGTCCACGATAGAGAACTCCACGTTGCTCTGTGGCTGCGGACCTCCAAAGGCCAGAACCTGAAACAGCAGATACGAGACTATGTCATGATTTAGCTTAGCTTTTTAAAAAGTTTTAGTAGAGGTTTTGCGGCGCTTGCAACTGCATAAGGTCATATGAGCACCAGAAGATAAGAGGTGTTACAAGAGAGTAACAAACATAAAAACGAAGAAAGGAGATAAGGATGATAGATGTTTTGCTTTAGTTTTGGAGTGGAGGTTTTACGGTGCTCGCAACTGCATAAGGTCATATGAGCACCAGAAGATAAGAGGTGTTACAAGAGAGTAACAAACATTACAAAGAAGAAGGGGAGATAAGGACAATAGATGTTTGATAGGACAGAAGGAGCAAACCACACCAGAGCACCCGCCAACCAACCACAATTCCATCTCACCTGCAGGGTGGCTCCGATGATGAGCGTGATGTTCTTGGGCTCCAGGCGAAGGGGCGGGAACACCTCCACCGGCTTCGGGGCGCTGTAGATGACCTGGCCAGTGGGCAGAGTGACGCTGGCGGTCAGAGTGGTGTGTCCGACCACAGCGCCGTAGACCGTGTACACCCCGGTGACGCTGTCCCCCGCCTCGCTGTGCACGGGTCTGCGGGACAAAGAAGGAAAATGGCTCCAGTACACATTGTGATCCCGACCAGCCGTCGTTCATTTTAGTTTTGTGTGAAACAAACACTCTACAAAATAGTCAAAACTGTTTAAGGCAGCCAAACATTGTCAAAAATAATTATTTTTAAAAAAATTAGTTTTAAGTTCACATGTATAAGACAATCACCTGTACAACTGGCCACTTCCCAATTCACCCCCCCCGATTTTTTTTTATCCCTCAGTGTGATTATAAGGTAAAAAAATCATGGGGTGGAGTCGTACAAGTGATTGTCTTATACATGTGACTATTAAAACAGATTTGACTGCACATCCAGTTGCAGCAGCACCCCTTTAGAGGGCCGCATCGGGTTACAATCGTTCCTCACCTGAGTGCCACAATGTCGGAAGCAGCCTCCAGCCGTAGGCCCATCAGGGTGAAGAAACTGGCCAGCAGCGGCTCACCCCTCAGATCCAACACCTGGACGTGGGCTCGCACTTCTTTCAGCACCTCTACCTGGAAACAATTTTTTTTTTTAAACTTGCCGTCAAGCAACTTGGAAGTACCACAGCGTATTTTGACAAATTAAAAGTTAGGTGTAGTGCAACCAATAAAGCAGAACTTTTCTTTGAACCAAAAACCAGAGAGTTTGAGAAACAATTAACTCACAGTAAAAAGAAAAGGCAGACAAAAAATAGTCAACTTTGAACTCAACTAGACAAATCAATTCTCCATTGCCGGAAAAAAAAAAACAACAATCCCAACACATTCACGTCAAAGCGCCGGCTTACCTTTTCAAGGACCTTGACCTGCACACTGCCTACCCCCGACACAGACACAGAGGCCAAGGGGTGAGAGGTGACGTCCAGACACAGGTCAAACACGGTGAAAGTCTGAGTTCCATCCTTCAATGGAGACACCTGAGATCGCAAAGAGAGGAAAATTTTCTAATTAACAAAAACAGCACATTAAGTGTTTTAGTGTAAGAGTTTTTCTCCACTTGCAACACAATTAGATCATGTAGGTGCCCAAGATTAGAGGTGTTACAAGAGTGTAACAAATACAAAAATAGCACAGCTAGTCGAGCAAGGGTTAAGATTTTTTTCATTTTAAAAGGCCATAAAATTTTTTGTTCAAACCAACATTGAAACAAACCGAAAATTGTTTTAATCATGATTTAAAACATCCCAGAATAATAATGGCTTGAAATCCATGAAGATCTTCACATATTTGATTCTTAGCACTATAAACCAGTGGGGGTGGGTTGAGGGCATGCGTGCAAAGGAAAAGCTTGAAATGAACATATAATAATAATAATAATAATAAGAGCATTTGTATCCCGCCTTTCCCCACAACATGGGCCCAAGGCATACATAGGAGATTAAAAACGCATTCGTACTAACACCATACAAATTCATCATATGCGCACTTTTTGACAGCAACATTCTTTCAGACAAAAAATGCTCATACAACAAGGCAAAGGTACTGTCCATTAATTAAAATATTTCTTAAATAGATGTGTTTTGAGTCCCCTTTTGAAGGTATCAAGTTTTATGTCGCTTCTCAAATCATGAGGGAGAGTGTTCCAAACTGTTGGCCCAGAAAAAGAAAAGCTCTCTCACCATATTTCTTCAGTGACACACGAGGTGCTGAAATTAGTCTAGAGCCACTGGATCTTAGTTCACGTGATAGTGTGTATGGTACAATGAGTTCTTGAAAGTATGTGGGAGACTGGTTAGTTTGACCTTTGAAGCACAAAAATGTCCCCCATGGACATTGTTTTGACATTAGAGTTGGCAAAAAAACCCACAAAAACACAAGGGAACTGACAATCAGCTTTCTCAAATGAAGATTCTCAAGGAGCAGATTAGGATAAGATTTTGTTTTAGTAAGAGATTTTGCAGCACTTGCAACACAATCAGATCATCTAAGTGCAGAAGATTAGAGGTGTTTCAAGAGTAACAAACTCAACAAACAAAAACCCAGAAAAAAAAGCAGAGATAAGGACAATAGATGTTTGATGGGAAAAAAAAAGAAGGAGCAAACCACATCAGAGCACCCGCCAACCAACCACACAGGATAAGAGCGTAACAATGAAAGTTTGAAAGTTTTAGTAGAGTTTTTACGGCGCTCGCAACTGCATAAAGTCATATGAGCGCCAAGGGATGGATGTCAACAGAGAGGTCCATACAGGGAATCAGGCTTACTCTGCTCACCTGTCTAGCTTCAACAGCTAACAATGAAAATGAGCAGAAGTTGCAGACCACCCACCAGAGAGCCCACTAACACCCAAACCTTCTCACCTGGACTCCTCTAGACTTCTGATTGTACTTTGCTTGCAACACCTGAGAGTCGAGGTCCTCGATGTGAAAGTAGCCGGAACCATGAGTGATGCCAATAGTCACCTGGATGCAAGCAGGAGTAAAAAAAAACAAATGTTTTTTGTATTAGTAAAGAGTTTTGCGGCACTTGCAACACAGTTAGGTCATATCAGTGCTGAAAAATTAGAGGTATTACAAGAGAGTAACAAACACACAAAAAGGAGAAATCAGGAAGAGAAATGTTTGATAGGGAAGGAGCAAACAACACCAGAGCACCAGCCAACCATCCACAGTGGTTTTTTACTACATTATTTCTTTGACATTTGCACTATGACAAAGACAGTATAGTCAAACTTGCCCAAGACGACCACCGATTGTCGAGGAAAAAAGAGTCATCTTACACAGGTGGTCTTTTTGGACAGTGTTATAATAGTATTTTCGTTTTAGTAAGAGTTTTACGGCATTTGCAACACAATAAGGTCATATAAGAGCTGAAGATTAGAGGCATTACAAGAGAGTAACAAACACAAAAAAGGAGGAGAGATAAGGATGATAGATGTTCGATATGAAAGAAGGAGCAAACCACACCAGACCACCCGCCAACCACCCACCATAATGGTATGAGAAAAAAAACACGGGGGGGGGGGGGGGGGGAGAGGGATATGGTCATTTGTACAGGTGATTATCTTGGAATGGAGGTTGTGACAGCAGGTTCAACTGTAAAATCAAAATTCACATAATGTTATTGTTATCGATCCAGCAACAGCTGGGCTCTTGCCCCCCTGTCCAGTAGGGCTGGATCCTGCTCGCCAAATTTGAGAGTGGCAATTCGCGATTCAGTCGGCTTCAAAGAATCGCGAGTAAGCGAGCGCTCGTGGAACTGAGGCGGAACACTGACTGAAACGGACCAGTGTCATATCAACGCCACTTGGCGAGCACGAGTCCCACTCTTGTTGTCCCGTCATCCTCTCCACACCCTTTGTTTCGCTGCTCTATCAGTATCAACTGACATCAATTAGTGACCCCAATAAATTCATACACCCACATCATATTTTGTACATTTACTTTGATACAATGAAAGATCATACCAATGAAGATGAGGATGAAGATGATGATGATGCTGAGACAGATAATAATGATGAAAACGAAACTGATGATGACAACAACAACCATGATGATTTGACCAGTTTGACCTATAGAAAAAGTACCTTATTGGACGGGTGGTTGAACACAGACACCGAGGGTGGGGTCAGGACCGCCTCTTCTACCAGCACCAGCTCCAGAGACTTCTTGATCACAGGACTGATGCGCTCCTGAAAGACAGGAACAAAAACCATTTATAACCATGGTTCTCAACTGAGAGTTTTAAAAAAGAAGGAACTTTCCGCGTGATGGCGACAGAAGACCTTTTTTCGCGAGACACCCATTATTATTATACTGTTTAACCCTAGAATGAGAAATAAAAACCATCAATGTGATCAAAGCAAGGTTATTTCATACCACTTTGAGAGTTTGGAAGATAATTCCAGGTAAAAGAGTAGTGGTAGAGGGGTTTAGCAGAGGAAATGGCAGTAGCGGAAATCCGCTAAATAGCAGAATATAGAGACCCGTGATAATTGAACAAACAAATTCGTGAAGCCATCAATAAAAACCCCGGTGAAAATTTTCCATGACATAATACCCTGGACAATCTGAGATTTCTTAAACGAGAGCAAATTCCTAAAATGTAGTTCCTGGATAAACATGGGCCATGGATATCTTGAGGAATTACTTAAAAAACGAAATTTTTAATTAGTTTAAAAACATTTGAATAAGCAGCAAATTAAATGTCGTTGTATATCTGACCTGTGGCTTTCCGAAGGCTTTGATGGCAGATGCTTTGTAGCGTTGGACTGACGCCGAGACCAGCACACTGCCTGTCTTTCCGTACGGGTGAAGAGTCTGAAAAGCTGAGGGCCACAAAAAAGAACAAAAAGGTACATTCAGTTCTATTCGACAAACTGAATGATTCTTACATATATTGTCAGCAAAACAGCACAATACCTCAATATCTCCTCATTATGGGTCTTTATTCATTTCTGTTGACAAACAGTTCGCAAACAATTTGGCAGGATTCTCTGTGTCTATGAAATTCCCCATTCCCCCCCCCCCCCCCCCCTCCTTTCAAAATGCTATTCTTTACACAGGTCTTTTGGCATTCTCTCATCTCCCATGGGACACAAACACTCCTTGTTATCACAGTCTAAGTTGCATTATTATCATTATCGTCACTATTTTCACCGGCGAGTTAAGTTTTTGTGAGGTTTTATGGTGCTCACAACTGCATAAGGTCATATGAGCGCCAGAAGATTAGAGGGGTTACAAGAGAGTAACAAACACAAAAAAGAAGGGGAAATAAAGACGATAGATGTTTGATAGGAAACAAGAAGCAAACCACACCAGAGCACCCACCAACCACCTACCCTTGCGAGTTAAAGATATCAAAAAGCAAACCAACATGAACAAAAGGAACCAGCAGATGCCCTTGACAAGGTTCATCAGACAACAACTCACACGACAAAAATTTCCGGCCATCCGCCTCTGTATCCACATCCACCCTCAGATCCTTGACGTAGACGAGGTCGGCCAGGTTCGAGGAGGAAATGCTCCAGTCCACGACAAGGCTGGAGAAGTTGTCGAATCTGCGACCGCTTGAGTCCGTGATGGTCACCAGCAGGTCCAGGTCCTTCTTACAGTGCACAGGCATCTGGTTTGTAATGGTAATGATAATGACAATGATAATAATAATAATTATAATAGTAATAATCATAATGATAATCATCATCATAATAATAATTAATAATAACAATGTCAATGACAACAATTATGTAAAACTAATAGTGATTGCAATAATTATAACAGCAAATGCTGTTCTCAATCAAACATGGATTCAAACTAGCATAAATGCATTAACACACACTCGCAATTCTCTCCTTTTCCCTTCTCTCCTCAGTAATTTTTTCCCCCTCCAAAATCTCCCTCACTCTCTCCAAACCCATGCACCCATCCACAAACTGGTACTATTAACATACATAGCACACACTTAAACCAAAAAGAGTAGGTGCACATTCACATTCAACAATATACCACAAAACACGTAGAAACCATTTACTGGGATCAGGGATCACAGCATAAGACGTTAAAAACTGCGGACACAAACGGAAGAACGAACCAACTCTACCCAACCCTCCACCCCACTCCTCCCTTCAGTAAAACTAGAAACTAATAATCGAAGACGACACCCTTCCCCTTACTGGCAGATTGTTCTCGTGAGCCACAGGACAAGGCGGCAGGTTCGGGTCAAGGTTCAGCACCGGCTGCAGATGGAGCTCCACAGGCCTGGCACAAGCAAATCTGAAAAGCCACAAACACCAGACCACACGACGGTAAACCAAAGTTTCTCAAAGAAACAGAAGCGTAAATTTGCACATGACGTTGCACACAGAACAAAATCTCAAAATGTTTACGAACAAACTTAAGAGTGCAAAACAGAACAGTGAGAATATCTTACAAAGGTACAGATAATAATAATAATAATAATAATAACGATAATAATAATATTGATAATGATGGTGATTATAATGACTGCATTTTTATTGATATATATACATGCTCAACAGCATTCTCTATGCGCTTAACAACTATAACTACCGCTGTATTTCAATTCAGAAAATAAAAGGCAAGAAAGCCAGTCAATTCCAGGCAATTAGGCTCAAATTGCAAGGTACTAACAACACAATTTTCAGTTTTCGGACCCCCTCCCCCCCCAAAAAATGATTCAAACTGAAGAAAACATCCCTCAAATGATACAAGTTAATTTCAAGACAGTAAAATGTTCCTTTAAACAGAAGTTACAATGCTAATTGACACATCTAAAAACAATAACTCTGAATACATTTTATCAAGCTTAATTTTTTTCATAAGTACCTGATCATTGCTGTTTCTGTAACTGGGAACTGGTTTTTGGCAGTCTTTCCATTCCCAACTGACAATTCCATTTCCTGATTAACAAAGAGTTTTTAAAAAATCATTACTATAATTATAATACGTCTGATCGATGGTGCAAACAATGTAACTTACTTTTAGTTTAGTTTTAGTTTGAGTAGAGGATTTACAGCGCTCGCAACTGCATAAGGTCATATGAGCGCCAGAAGATTAGAGGTGTTATAAGAGAGTAACAAACATAAAAAAGAGGAAGGGGAGATAAGGACGATAGATGTTTCATATGAAAGAAGCAAACCACACCAGAGCACCCGCCAACCACCTACGTATCTTACTTTAAGAAGCACAAGATTTCAAAAGCACCAATACCTAAGCCTAAGCAATGCAAGTGGTGTCAAACAACGCAACAATACAATTTGCAAAACCAAATTTTGCCATAAATTTTTTTCTCTAATGACTTCAATAACTTAGAGGACTCCATGCTCAATTTTTTTAGTGCATGTATTTAGAGCCTAACATACAACCTCAAAGACATTCAAATCACACAAGATCCAAGTTGATTTTGACTACAACACAAAACGTTTTTAAAAAGTTTCTGTTCTGGTCTCATTCTTAGTTAAAACATAGAAGCCAAAAAAAAAAAAAAAAAAAAAAAAAAACTTTCAGAATGAAAAAGCAGAAACGGAATCCATTGAAAGGAAGCCAATTTTCAAATCTACTAATCCATCTCAAACAGTCGGTTTGAATAATTTTCAGTTACGTACAAAACAAGACTTAGCTTGCCTCCAGAGCCATTAAAGAAGACAAATCCTTGATTAACAATAACAATAAAAGAAATCCTAAACTCATCCATTTGGTTAGTTTTACGGCACTTCCAACACAATAAGGTCCTACAAGCGCCGAAGAATAGAGGTATTACAAGAGAGTAAAAAACACAAAAAAAGAAGGAGGGGATATAAGGATGACAGATGTTTGATAGGAAAGAAGGAGCAAACCACGTCAGAGCATCCGCCAACCGTCCATCAAGCCTGAACTCACCTGTTCTCCAAAATCGTGGCAAAACACCACAAAAGTGTGAACTCCTCCTGAGAAGAAAAGTAAGAGCAGTTTGAGAGCTGAGAAACACCTCCTATGATGTTCTGTATTTCAAAATTAGATGTGCAACCAAGGATTGTGAATTACAAGACAAGAAATAACACGATTCAAATACGTGACAACTAACTTTTCCAAAAATACAAATCTGCGACAATTTTATTCAACAACTGGGATCTCCTGACATTTAATCGGTTTAACGACAAACAACTTTCGGAGGGAGAAAAAAAAATATGTGACAGTTGAAGCCAAGTCATTTATGTCATCATGTTGGTTGAATCAAACAAGATAGGTTTCACAAAGTCAGAGAGAGTAGAGAAAAAAAAACCCCCCACCATAACAATCACAACATCTGCTACCACACTACGCTTGTATTTACGCAAAACTAAGAAGAAAACCACGTCAAGGTCCAGTGGAGCCAATCAACAAACCCTCAACAAAACCGGCACGCAAAACAGTGTTTAAATTACTACACCGGATTACCCCACCAGTATATGAAATGTGATTCTGACGATGATGCGAATGAAGGTGTAAATCGATCACGATCTCAGGCAGAGGGGCACGGTAGCCTCAGGAGGCCAAGGCTCAAAGGCTAAAACTGTATCATTCCACTTAACAACTCTGGTGATCAATCTCGGAATTCACAATTATGGGTGCAAACAAGCGTAAGCGTTAGTATGAGTACGCATACGAGTGTCTAGAAATGTCTGTAACAGAAAAAGGAGATGAAAAAAGACTAATTACTAATCAAAGTGCAGAAAGACAAAGGGTTGGGTTTTTTTAACGCACATGCTACAAATTCTTTCACGTCTTCATTTTTCTTGCTTGCACAACACAAAATTCACAAGTTTTGCTTGTGCTAATCACCCATGGCTGAGTTGTAATTTACTGAGATTAATTATAATAATACCCAGAATTCATCAGGAACAGAGAAGCTTAATAGTGACAACTAGAGTAGAAGAAACAGATGAAACAAGAGCATCCACCAAATGCTTAACTACAAGAAATCAGATACCTGTTGCCCTAAAATGGAAATATTCCTGTTTCCAGCTCAAAACAAATAATATATTCTTGTCCTCAACTGTTAGTCTCATCCCCCATCTTTGACTTTCATCTCAAAACATGAAATAAACTATAACCCAAGAACACAGCAATACAATGTACAACACATGAAACAAAAGTCAAAAGAGCAGAGTGGCGACAGGTGAACAAGTAAAATAATCCCTTGAGGTACATCGTTTGCATAAAAGAATAAGCAAATGGACTGTTCACTACCCACAGATTAAGAGAAATTACTGGGAAAAAATTTATAAAAGAACCACTATTCACCTATTTTAGTTTTAGTTTAGTTTTAGTAAGAGTTTTACGGCACTTGCAACACAATAAGGTCATATAAGTGCCGAAGAATAGATTATGCGTTACAAGAGAGTAACAAACACAAAAAAGAAGGAGGTGAGATAAGGACGACAGACGTTTGATAGGAAAGAAGGAGCAGACCACACCAGAGCACCCGCCAACCGCCCACTTATTCACCTATAGATATGGTGCAATAAGCAGAGGTTATTTAACATTACAAATACACAACGCCTTTTAAATCAAACAGTCTTTTGTTGTTCTAGTTTTTGCCACTGTATCACACATATCTTTTACCCTTCGAATGACATTGACAAAAAGGCCTCAGCCTCACTTCAAACATATGTACCTCCATCAACAAAAGTTAGACAATTTTTTGTGACAGGCTTCCTACCACCCTGCCTGTCAGGGCCAACCCGTGCTGAGACAGATAGGCTACAACATCCCAGCAGAAAGACCGAGATATTCGATTAAAAAAACTCTCCCTACTCATGAATCAAACTCAGGTCTCCTGTCCGGAACAGAGAAACGCCTTACTGCTACACCATAGACACCAGTCCTACAAGGTCATTTACTTAACACAGTCTACAAAACTGTAACTCACTGTTGATGGAGACCGGGGCAGTCTGTGCGACCCTCACGAGCTCTTGTTTCTCAGGAACCACTGAGAATAAAAAGTAAGAACAAAACATTACACACGGGACTTTATTCTGTAGAGTATCTAAAGCACTTTAGATTTTGTAGATTTTAGAAGGAGTTTTAGAGGCACTTGTAACACAAAAAGGTCATATAAGTGTCAAAGATCAAAGGCGTTACTAGAGATTAGATTACAAAGAATAGAAGGAAGAGCCATACGGATGAAAGATGTTTGATAGGAAAGAAGGAGCAAACTGCACCAAAGCACCTGCCAGCTACCCACAAAGTGCTTTTGACAAAACTAAGACAGGCAAAAACGAAGACCTGGCTTGGCCTGCCTGCGTAAATTTGCCATGAAGAATGTAGACACCCAAAACACAGGACCCAGCACACGACTATTGACACACCACCAGACAGAACTACTTTTAGTTTTAGTTTAACGAGAAGTTTACAGCATACAAGTACCGAAGAATAAAGGTGTTAATAAAGAGTAACATACACCCAAAAAAAGGAGGAGAGATAAGGACAAAAGATGTTTTAAAGGAAAGAAGGAGCAAACCATACCAGAGCACCCACCAACCACCCACAGAGGTCGTATAAGTACTGATGAATTACAGGTGTTACAAGAGTCACAATAAAGAAGGAGAGATAAGGACGAAAGATGTTAGATAGGAAAGAAGGAGCAAACCAACACCAGAGCACCCACAAACCATCCATGCCGGACTACTTACTCCCGGCCAAACTTACAGTTTTCAAAGAACTTGGAGGAGTCCAGAACCCAGGGCTGTGGCCCGCCCAGAAAGACGATCTCTTTGGTAGAGCCCAGGGCGACCACCGCCTCCACCTCTGGATCTATGGCCTGAAAAGTTTGGTTGAGTTTAGTTTTAGTAATTGCTTTACGGCGCTTGCAACACAATAAGGTCATATAAGTGCTACAAGAGAGAAACAAACACAAAAAAAGAAGGACTGGAGATAAGGCTGATAGGTGTTTGATAGGAAAGAAGAAGCAAACCACACCAGAGTACCCGTCAACCACCCACTTTTTGAGTTTGAGTTTGAGTTTGAATTTTTTTGAGTGAGGAAAAGCACATCAACACAATAACGGTTATAGAAAATGAAGGGGGAAAAGCAAGACAGATGGACAGAAAGAACAGAGGGAAAGAAAAGAAGAAGGATTTACCAATGGCACCCTCCAACCACCAGCTCCACAAATAGAAAACAAAATCTTTCTACGATGTGTTATGAAGGAGTAGGACTTCCCAAGACTCACTGGCAGTAAGAAATGGGTTTTTTTCTTCCCTCTTGTTAATGTTAAACTCTGAATGAGGCAAAGAATCTTTTTGTTGAATTCGTTTGAAATCCCCCAAAATAATTTTTGTTGGGTCTACTCATAAAATATAATGTGCATGTAAGCTCACGAGTAAAGAAAAATCATTTTCAAACAATTCTCAAATTACAAAAAAGATCTGAATCCAAGAGACAGAAATGGTCTTTTCTGTCTCTGTAAAACAAGAGCCTTTCCAGGCATGGCCATTACGTTATATGTTACTGTTGTATGTTGTACTTTATTGAAAAGCGCTCAGAGCCTGTGTACTTTAATCGGGGTTGAGCGCTATATAAAAGTCGTTTATTATTATCATTATTATTACAAGGGTGAAAGGCGAAATGAAGAATGATGAATGAACTGCCAACATGAGCAAGGAAGGTGCTCATCATACCTTCAAGGGATTATACGCTGCCACCGTGACGGAGGCCTGCAGGAAGACGTTCTTGCTCCTGAACGTAGCAGTCACCTCGGTGTGACCTTGCCGAAGAGCTAGGAAGGTCAATGCCGTACACCCAACCTCAGGTAGCTCGATCTCTGTTTGTCCATCTGATAAAAACCAGAAACAATAACAAGGAAAAACGATGAAGTAAGAATCAGTACTTGATAGCTTAACTCACTTTTGCGTGAATAAATTCTTTTTTGTTTTAATAAGTTTATAAGAATTAAGGAAAAAAAACATTGTTGGAGAAAAGGATGATAGATGTTTGATAGGAAAGAAGGAGCAAACCACACCAAAGCACCCGCTAACCACCCACACAGAAGAGCTATAAGGGTTGCCTCTCGTTGAAAGTGAATAGAATTTTCTCATTTAAACTCCACAGTGAATGACATTCAAAACAGCTAAGAAGTGTCGAGCAAAAATAAGGGTTTTGCTGAAGGTTTCATGATATCCAACAGTCAAGCAGAGTTCAACAATTTTGTAAAAAAAATGATCAGGATATCTTGACTGTCTTGGGCAATTCCATCTCTTGGTTGCCTTCAGGAGTCGATACAAAGAGAACACACATCCCCTTTTAACATGACTCCTTTTTCTCAAACCAATTAACGTCAACAACTGGAACAAATTATTACCAGGAAAAAAGTCGTTGAATGAACAATCGCACACAACTCTGCGAAAAAAGAGTCCCAGAATCATCGCACACTCACCTGAGGGCACTGCTTGAAACACTGACGGATCGCTGAAAGTGATGTTCAGAGGAAGTTGTCTGCAGTCCGTAAAAGCATGAAGATTTTCTGAAAGGACAAAACAAAACAGAATTTATTAAATTGAATAAACTTGAATAAACATTCGCAATAGGGATTACCTGCAGAACCTTGTTTCAGAGAAAGTGCAAATATATTTTACAAATTCTTAATCAGCATCATTAGAAGATATGACAAGTGCTGCCCCTTTTATGTATCCAGCTGTGTACACCAACAAGGAAGTAATAAGTAGAACGAGACAGAGCCCAGTCAGAGATGAGGTGGGAAGAAGACATTGGCGATGGATTGGACACACTTTCAGGAAGTCAAGCAGCTGCATAACAAGAAAAGTGTTAGATTGGAACCCACAGGGTAAAAGATCAGGGGGAAGACCACTTGGAACCTGGAGAAGAGTCACGGAAATGGATGTACAGAAAAGTGGGAAGACGTGGAGTGATATCAAGCTACTAGCTCAGGATAGGGAAAGGTGGAGAGTGTTTGTTTGTTTCCTATATCCTGATCCAGGGTGAGAAAGGCAATGATGATGATGATGCAGAACCTTGTTTCAGAGAAAGTGCAATTATATTTTAAAAATTTATAATCAGCATCATCAAAAGATACATGACAAGTGCTGCCCCTTTTATGTATCCGGCTGTGTACACGAGTTATGAACATTTCAGAGAATGACATTAGACAGATTCTGTCAAATCTTCTTGCTGCCGGGCACACGAGGTTAAAACTATGCAACACTGAGGAGGTTAAAACTTGAAAAAGACAAAAACACTTGTAAAGAAAGAAAATAGTGGGTCAAATTACCAATCCAGAAACACAGGCATCTAGAACTAATTTTTTTTTTAAACCATCAAAAACTGACAAAACTTGAGTATTTGAGAGACTGAACTTACTGTTGATCTTGGCAAACACAGCAAGCGGCAACACGAGTTCGGTGCCCGTGGCAGCTTCCACTTTGGAGGGCGGGAAGTTCATGTCTGCTGGCGGGAGAACTTGCACCTGCAAAGGTCAAGGTCAGAGATATAGCTGGGATCATTGATGTATGTAGTGTGAGGAATGGCGCATAGAGCCACATTTTGAAATGATAAGATATTTTAGTAGTTATACACATTTTTAGTCAATTTGAATTTTTAAAAAAAATTTTTACATTGATTATTGAGGTGTCTGTGGACTGTCCACCCACCCTGGAAAGAAAAGCCACACATCAGAGTATACGAGGGTTTTCATGATTCTGAAAGTACCAACTGCTCTATGATTGTGTAGCCCAGGTAGGTTTCACATTGCTCATTTCTCACCACCAATGACAGCTGGCTCAAGTTGTCAACTCTTGCATGGAGGCCTGGCCAAGTGGCAGAGTCATTGGATCATCATGTGCCAACTAGCTCAATCTGGGACTCAGGAGGGTCATATCACGGGTGTATCTTTTGACATTTACCAAAGGCTCCTACAAGTACAGGTGTTTGATTTTAAACCATAGCCCAGTCAGCAGTCATCATCATTGCCTTTCTCACCCTGCACCAGGGTATAGGCCACGGACAAACACCTTCCACCTTTCTCTATCCTGGGCTAGCCTCTTGATGTTATTCCATGTCTCCAGTCAGCAGTAGGAGATACAAAATCCTTAGACCCTAAGCCTTATTGTTGTACAAGTAGATTTCATATTGTTTACAATCTAGGCAGCCGAAACTGAGAATGGTAAACAAGGATCGCACTGACATTTTCAGTACATGGAAGTACTTTTTTAGTCATTGCGTCCGTAAGTTCAATACCTCAACAACACACATTGATCATTTCACAAAAGGAGCATTTGTGGCCAGTTAGTTTGAATGAAGAGAAATGAATGAGAATGAACAAAAAAGAAAATAAAAGAGGAAAAATAACACAACTTGTGTTTCTCAAAAGATGTCCAGTTACTAAATGAATTTGAATGACCTTTCCTTTTCTATTTGAAGAGAACCACATGCGATCAAAAAAGGACAGTAAATAAAAAATAGCTAGACTTACTATTGACACCCTCCCACCACAAGCCACATAAACATTTACCCATTTAAAATTAAAAGAATCAATTTTTCCAAATAAAAGCTAACAGAGAATTGATGCAGCTATTGCTTAAAACACACAAAATGTCTTCACCCTACGGGCTAAATAATTTCAAATGATGCAGCGATCTTACCGTTGAGACTCCGAAGTGAGCAGAATTCTTTGCATCAGCAGCGGTGACGTTGCACCTTCCTGGTCCCACAGTGGTGATCTGCCCTTTGATGTTCACCGAGGCGATGCTGGTGTCGGTCACGCTCCACACATACTCTCCACTCCCTCCGTCAGCCTGCAATGTCCCCATACCGTGTTAGAGGTGACCCTTTTTCAGTTTTAGTTTTAGTAAGTGTTTAACAGCACTTGCAACACAATAAGGTCATATAAGTGCCAAAGACTAGAGATGTTACAAGAGACAAACAAACACAAAAAAAAGAAGGAGGGGGGATGAAGACGATAGATGTTTGATTAGAAAGAAGAAGCAAACCATACTAGAGCACCCGCCAACCACCCACATGAGGTGACCCTAGAGAGGCTTTCTGAACTTGTCATTGAACACTTAATCCCACTGGGAGTGGGGTTTTTTTTTTTCTCATTATAAATAAATAAATGTGTGTCAGAATTTGTGGGGAGGGGTGTGTGTGATGGAGAGAGAGACAGAACAGACGACAATCTTTTGGCCGATGGAACCTCCCCCCCCTCCTCCCCCCCAAAGTGCTTAAATTTGTTTAATAATGAGTTTTATGGCACTTGCAACACAATTAGATCAAACAAGTGCTGAAGATTAGAGGTGTTTCAAGAGAGTAAAAAACCCCGAAAAAGGAAAGATAAGGACGATAAAAGTTTGATCTTTCGCAACCACCCACCTTCCATGTGCAACCAATGAATAAACACGATAAATAAAAAGTTCATTTAGGTACTTACTTTGGCGACATACTTGTGCACACATCTGGAGACGGGGTCCCACGGGAAGAAAGCTTTGGCCGGCGTAACGGTGACCGGGTCGTAAATCTCCACGTCCTGGCTACGCTTCACCTCTGGCCTGACGCTGTGCTCCACGCCATCCTGTCAGCAGATCAGACATATTTGTTTTTTACTACTAGTTTTATGTCCAGTTGGGGAAGTAAAGGCGGCGTGAAAAGGAACTGGCCACCCTACCACAATATTATGCCAAAGGCCCAGGAAGTTGTCTCACTAACAAGGCAATCCCCTAATGTCCGGATCGGATGCGGGAACAACTTTACTTTTACTAGTTTTATGGCACTCGCGACACAATAAGGTAATATAAGTGCCGAACAAAGATTAGAAGTGTTGCAAGAGAGAAACAAACACAAAAAAGAAGGAAAGATAAGGAAGATAGATTTTAATAGGAAAAAAAGGAGCAAACTACACCAGAGCACCCGCCAACCAACCACTGTCAGCAAATAGAAAATGTATGCTGTGATGTGCAGGCTTGAAATACAAGAACCACAAAAGCAAATTGATGGTCACAGGTGAAAGAGTGTATGAGACAAGCTTCTCTGCAGGACTAATATGAGGTTAAATAGAACAGAAATGCAGGGAATAATAACCTTAGCATTTTGCCACCTCATCTCGCTGATGTTTACCGCCCAGTTTCTTTGGATTTTCCCCAAAATGCCTTTGCCTTTGATGGCAAGAGTTTTTACAATATGAGCCTTGTAATGGAAAAGTGTGAATCAGATTTCAGAGAAAATAATGGAAAAAAAAAAAGGATTTCTATTGAAATCCACATCAGAATTTGTTCACACTTACATCATCCACAACACTGACAAGAGCTCCGTCGATGATAGTCTCCCCTTTCAACAAGGTACGCACACGATGATACGTGCCATTGATGCTTGAGTAAAACACGTCGAAGTAGGTCTTCGGAAATATGGACTCAACACGAACATTCTGGAAAGAGGGAAAAAAATAAGTGTTGATTGACTGCTACTGAAATTATAAATATCCCGGACTATGGTTTGATAAAAACAGAAGATTCTAATAGCTGAATCAGAAACTTTGCACAAAAAAAAGACTTGGGTAAACATAGAGCTTTCACTAGAAATGAAAATGTCATCTTAAACACAACATTACTTGTAAAGAGTAATTGAATCAAAGCTGTGTCATACCGTGAAAAACAATTTCTAATCTTAAAAATGTGAGGACAGATTAAAAAAGACTTTTTACTGACAAAAATTCATGTACTTTTTTTTTTCTTTTTCATTCTCCGTTGTCCTTTTCCCCACTAGCCCGTCTTTCTCCGCTTAATGCACAACAGACTACGAAACTAACTATCTTTCACTTACATCAGAGGGGTAGATCTTGTGACTGTCCGTGTCGTAGATTTCTATATAGATCTCGTACTCTCTGCCCGTCTCCAGCACCCACTTCCTGTGTGGGAGGACCACAAATGCTGGCAAAAGAAGAAATCCGTAAAACTAAAGCAGTAAATGAGGACAATGCAGCGTTATATTCACTACCGAAATAAAAGCAAAGTACTCTGCAAAAACAGCCAATACATAATATATATATATGCAATAAACAAGAGGTACTTGTAACTGGTTTAACAAACATACACTTAATTAAAAGATTTCATGTGCGGGAAAGCTCAACCCAGTATGCTCAAATGATTTGGAAAAATCAATACATAGATCTACATATACTGGAAAACTAGTTCTGATTTTTTCAAAAATATAATAATACTCAAAAATTCTTCTTCAATTATCGTTTTATTCATAAAATAAAATACAAGAGACAATAATGATTACATACCCAAAAAGCCTGGGGCAACAACGTGGATCATGGCTGATGGCTGTCTAAAAAATTCAGTCACAATTACATCTGAAAATTTGTTAAGGATTTTTATCGGTTTTTGTCTTTGAAAATCAAACTAAAATATTCAATAATTTGAAATGGCTTCTCGGCTCAGTATATACAAGAAGTACAGACCACTTTTGTACAGCATGTTTTTTTAAAACTCATAATAAATCCATTAAACTTTTCAACTTTCAGCAGATCAGAGAGGCAGAATCTTCCCCAAGACTTTCTGTCCGCCACATGCAGACAACCATCAAGGGGATGCAACCCACAGCATTGGCTGCTTTCAGGACCCCTGCACTTTCATCATATCTGCTGGCTGGTAACTCACAAAGAATTAAGCATTGGTGGTGAAAAGTTGAGTTTAACAAAAGAAAAGCACATCAACACAATAATGGTCATATAGTGCAGGGAAGAAGCAAGACAGATAGACAGAAACAACAGAGGGAAAGAAAAGAAGTAGAACACATACCAGTGGTGTCCTTCAACCATCGCGGTGAAATATTTTAAAATAGTTGATTACAGTACGATCTAGATCTTTTCATACCCTTCTAATAATATCCTATTCCAAAAATGTTCCATTCTATTTTGTATTTTTCTGTACCTATGCTGGTTTAAAAGGTTTAAGATGTTGAGTTGGGTTGGGCTTGGAGCCCACCTTTTGTTTTATGTTCAGTCTGTAAAAAGTAGAATTTCTCATCACCCAAAATGACTTTTTGTTATTTGGACTTAAATGATCAAAATTAAAAAGGTAGAAACTTTACATAGTTCTCAAAGAAAATGAAAAATGACAACCACGGTAATAAAAAATAAACAACACACAAGTTGACTCATATGTCAATGAAAAATTTGAAGGTTCATTAAAACATTTTGTAATTTCCAGCAGGTCAGAGAGGCAGAATCTTCCCCAAGATTTTCTGTCCGCCACATGCAGACAACCATCAAGGGGATGCAACCCACAGCATTGGCTGCTTTCAGGACCCCTGCACTTTCATCATATCTGCTGGCTGGTAACTCACAAAGAATTAAGCATTACAGGTGAAAGTTGAGTTTGAGAGAAGAGAAACACATCAACACAATAATGGTCATATTAGTGCAGGGAAGAAGCAAGACCGATAGACAGAAATAAGAGAGGGAAAGAAAAGAAGTAGGACACATACCAGTGGTATCCTTCAACCATTGCGGTGAAATATTTTAAAATACAGTTGAATACAGTACGATCTAGATCTTTTCATACCCTTCTTATAGTATCCTATTCCAAAAATGTTCCATATTGTATTTTTCTGTACCTATGCTGGTTTTAAAGGTTTAAGATGTTGAGTTGGGTTTGGTCTTGGAGCCCACCTTTTGCTTTACGTTCAGTCCATAAAAACAGGACCTCTCAACACCAAAAACGACTCTTATGCGAGTTGGGACTTAAGTTATATCATCAAAATTAAAACACTTGAAAAACCTTACGTAGATCTCAAAGAAAATGAAGAAAGAATGACAACCACAGTCCCGAAATTAAACAATACAGGTAGACTCATATGTCATTGAAAAATTTGACGGTTCATTAAAACATTTTGTTATTTCCAGCAGGTCAGAGAGGCAGAATCTTCCCCAAGACTTTCTGTCCGCCACATGCAGACAACCATCAAGGGGATGCAACCCACAGTATTGGCTGCTTTCAGGACCCCTGCACTTTCATCATATCTGCCGGCTGGCTATAATTAAGCAGCACAAAACATTCTCTTCATATCAGTTTTATTTAGCACCAGCCACTAATTGAAATTCCGTGGGTTTTTTTAAAACCCTTAATAAATTTTTATAAATACCTTTCCAGCCTACTCAATCCTTTCACCACCTTGTTATCATACAGGTGTACTGAATGCAGAGATATTGTCAATGTTTTATGTGTCCCGCGCGCTCATATTACCTTATGCAATTGTAGGTGCCATAAAACACTTACAAAAAAAATAAATATACAAGAGAGAGAGAGAGAGAGAGAGAGAGAGAGAGATATTGTGCTGCAGCAGAATTGGGCATTTTTCTCCACTAAGAGGGCAAAATGCTTCAGTATTACACAACAAGACCACAGGGACACTCAAACATGCATACTCAAATAAGCTTAAAAGTTCAGTATTCTTTCTTCAAAAATGAGGTAACCTAATGGCATAAATGCCCCTTTGGTTTTACAGCTATGCCTTAAAATTGTTCAAACCGGCCACCAAATAAATAACGCTCAAACAACCAAAAATGTCAAACTCCTCCCCCCCCCCCCCCCCTTCACTTTTTGAAAGTATTCATATCAAGTTCACTATTGTATTGGCCAGTAGTAAATAATCTCCTCTTTAACACGAATAAAGCTGCTGTGAGCTATAAAAAGGTCACAAACTTCTCAGAGATGTCAAACCATTAAAGTGAAATGAGAGCACACAAGTCAAGGATACTCCTGTCTTTAAGCACAATCTCTGTGGAGCCCATGACAAGGGCAGTCGCCATAGACGTAGGCACATCCAGTTTGCAGATTTCGTCATCCTTGATCTCCAGGTAATACTGTTTGGAAGGCATCTTGATCTCTGTGGGTACAACAGATGACAGCAGTCAAAGTTAAAAAGGAATATGCTATAGTCTTACAAACTTCTAAAAAAAAACCTCACACATCTTCACAATAACTTCACTGGCTTCTGCGATGTAGCTGTTAGGCCCTTTGTCATCGCATGTAGAAGACCCCAGTTTGATTCTCGAGTCAGGAGAAATTTTATGAGTATCTCGGTTTTTCTGCTGATACGTTGATCCCTCTAACCACAGGCTGAAGATGGAGCTGAAGCCCACCTCCAAATAGATCTAAATCATGCCAATGGAGATGTAAAACCACCTACATTTTTAAATGAAAATTACTATAACTCCCTTAATCAAGTCCACAAATTTTATGTTTACATCTTCATCCCCCTGGGAACACAGCCTGCAGTGAGTATCTCAAGATTCCAAGAGTTCCTGTGACTATTGACAAAGGCAGTGAACCATGCACTGACTCGTAGAAAAAAAAATCCGCGGACTGACCTTTCAAGGAATTATGTCTGAGAAGTTCCACCCTGTACTTGACTCTACCAAATCTCAGGACGTAGGCGTCGGGAGGAGACAGCAGCAAATTGGCAATCACCATAATGCGCACATCATTGGGACGCACATTCTGAAAGTGAAAATCAAAGGGAATATCAAGATACAGTCGGTCGAACCTGCTCTAACTGCCACCTGTATAAGACAATCACTAACACAAACGGCCACTTCCCATTTCCTCCCTTGTGTATTTTTTTACATTATAATATCACTGTTAGACTACCACCTGTCTAAGACCGCCACTTTTCTCCTCTACAATGGTTGGCTGTCTTGGACAGATTCAACTACCTTTTTTTTTCATCCAAATTTACAAGATTTTGGTTAAAATTTTAATGCAAGGATACCTCAGCGCTCTTCCATTTGTGTCTTCTCTGAAACACAGTACCATCCGTTCAAGTTTTGGAACCCGACAATCACAAGATTATATTGAAGTATTAGTTGTTGGAGCAGTAGTTGAATCTGTGACAGTTGGTATTAATTCAGAAGCCATTACCCTTTTAACTTTCAAAATTTGGCTCAGTACCAAGTACGAGAGGCTGCTTTATGATGTTCATTGTGTAAGGCTGGTTCATTGTTCAAGGAAGCAACATCCCTGCACTCCGGACATGTCCATTGATGCTCCGTTGCTCTCTCCAAAATGTTGCTGAGGGTCCTTCCACTGATTGTGCCAGTGCACATCTGGTTGAACAAAAGGCTGGAAGAAAGCACTAACTGAGCCCAATACACACCTGGAACAGCCCTTACCTGATAGTTTTCTACAACTATTTGTATACGAGTCAACACCCAAAGAAGTTTCAAAGGCAGCGCTAATAAACCAGTGGTCAAAAGTAACATCGAAGAAAATACCACCCAAATATGTAAGAGGGGGTAATACGGGGTGCCCACTACGGATGGGACTGGCCGATTGGCCAGATCGCCCGACTCGATCGCCTCAAAAACAAACATGTTTGTTGTCAGTTTCAGGCGATCGAGTCGGGCGATCGGCCCGATCCAGCCGTAGTGGGCACCCCGTCTAAGCTCATCCGTACACTTTAGACATGAAACTCTTAAGACCAAGAACAAAGTATCACGATGCTCACAACACACACCTTATATACAGGGTCTCTCAGTCTTGCAGAGACTTTAGCACTGCCAGTGCGAATTCCTTCCACTAAAATCATGTCCCCTTGGAGGCCTTTGTCTTCTAGAGGAGCAATATGTTTGGGCGTGGTGTAGTGGGAATCTGTGAACCGCTTGATCCTGATAAGAAAAATTCACACACAAGTTGAAAAAAAAAGAGGTATAAATTGCAGATGAACACTTGCCGATCAACAAGATGCCAGCTATCCTTGAAAATCCTTGATGTATGAATTTAGAACTTAGTTTTTTATCCTCACAAAATTTGAAGACAATTGGTGTACAATTAATTGAGCAAAATAAAGAATGAATTTTCGTCATTTTGATACCATTATTTGAAGACTGCAATAAATGTGAGTTTTGAATCTTTTTTCTCAATCTCTATCCCATCAATGTGTAATTTCAATGTTGAGTTAAGTATGAAAGGTCCTCATTTCAAGACAGAGATATTAGCAGCATATTCCCTTAAAAAGGAAAATATTTTCTATACAGTGGTAATAAAAAATGTTTCACGCATATTTTGCAAATTAAGGACATTCTCTTAGTTAATTAAAAAAGAAATAAAAAAGGAATCTGGTGGAGTACCTGAGAATGTTGTGAGCATCAACAACATCATGACCAGTCTCGTTGTCGGAGATGAGATTCCACTCAAACGACAGACCCTCCAAGTTGGAGAAGATATTTCCTGAAACAAGAAATGTACTGAATTGTTAACAAAAACCATAACCAGATATGTGAGTCAAGACACACAACGTTTGGGTGTGTGTGTGTGTGTGTGTGTGTGTGTGTGTGTGTGTGTGTGTGTGTATGTGTGTGTGTTTCGATCCCCCTCTTCATAGTCGAGCTTTTTATTTTCACTTTCGTTTATCAGCTGTCCACAAGCAAACATACTATGTGAGGGCAATCGACCAACGAAGGGAACGAAAGAGACAGTAAAAGCAGCATACTCGGGTGAATTATGGCGGGAGAAGTGTAAACAAACTGAACATCACGCTGCCTGACAACTATCATACAAGATTTCCTTCTGAAATGTCCTATCTACAATAAAAGAGGTATAAAAAAAAACAACCTTCCCATTTACACATCACTTACTTATTAGAATAATTGTTTTATAAAACCTCACCTTCACTGTCATAACCGCGTGCGATAAGTTCTTCTGGTGAATCTTCCAGATAAAGCAGACGAGTCGTTGTCTCGATCTCAACTCGGAAGATTTCTCCAACAATCACATTCGTCCGAAGAATCTCACCAGTCACTGCGAGGACAAACCAGTAGCATCAGACAATATATACATATAGTCATGAACAAGAACATTCACTACATTTTCTCCAGCTCACTGGACAGGTATTTAACCCTGCCAAACCTTACGCCCTGAACCTAACTTCCCTCAATACCTGGCCTCCTCAGCTAAAGTGTGCAGAAAGTGGTTAATAATACAGGAAAATGAGTTATCAGAAACACATAAAACTTGGTAGAAATACAGATAAGAGGCCTACTTTTGAGCAAATGCCAGTACTCGGATAGGTTTTCAAGCACTACTCGTGTGGTAAACAGTTTAAAAATACGACGCGGCCTCCCAATTACTGGTGTACCGGGAATCCGGCATAGTTGAAGTGTGGAGTATTCGGTAATACGGTCTGACAGGGTTAAACCAGAGAAGGCATTTAAATGTTATCTTCACCTGCATATATGAAGAAAAATATTTCTTTTCTAGTAAGTAATGCAAAAACAGCTAGAAAGGTAACTTCTCTGTTAGCAGCACTTCCCATAGAGTGACTTCACCATGCAGAGAACAAACAGGTTTCCAGGTCCCCTTTTGCAGCTCTACATCTGAGACTCGCATTATACAAAGTAAACAGAAAAAAAGTAAAGCAGCAACTCGAAAACAAACTCACTTTCTAAATCTCTATGAGCTACCAGCTTGTACTGTGAAGACCAGAGGAACATTGGAAAGGGACTTCAAAAACTTTTGTCACTTCGCCTTGAACAAGTGCGCTTTGGATATTAGTTTGTGATGGCATACTATACCTTTATTTTCTGCTAAAACAACAGTGGTCATCTGATGTGACGTTTTCGATATCGCAGATACAACTGCTGTCCGAGCACATGTACCATCTGTAGAATTGATCAGCTGGACCTGTGCCACCTCTGGTCTTGTTGAACGCCTAAATGACAAAACAAACAGGATGTAGTAATACCGTAATGCGCTTTCACTTTCAATTTAACAATGACATTAACCATAACTTTGTGGTATGACTTTGAAAAAAGAAGTCTTAACAGTATAGTCAGTCTACTGTGTGCAGACTCCACAATATAAACACTACTGTTGATGTCTCATTTGGCTATACATACCTTCAGGTCATATTATGGCATAGGAAATACATTGCCATGAAAGAAACCATATATGGCACACCCTGCCTGAAAAAATGGTGCACGAGTAACAAAAATATGTATGAGACAAGTAGCTGTCACTATCACAATGTGGATTGATTCATAGGTAATACTGAAGATGGACTTATTTCCTCATTCCCAATCTGGTAATTAAATATGCAAATTAATAATTTTCGAACTATTAGATGGCTTTTATTCGAACTATATCACACAAAGCCTCATTAATTGCTAATTGCGTAGTAATTTCCACGCTTTGGACCATGAAACAGGCAAGCCCGTTATCCCCCATGATCTGATGTTTGAGAGCATGAGATTGGAGTGAAAGTAAAATAATACAGAATTGTAATATTGTGTATTGTACTGATGTGTAAGTGTGGTGGTGTTATAATATTAACTTTCAATTAGCCGTCCCCGTAAGCCAAATCAACCAAGTGTGCACCAAACAAAGAAGGTGGGGGGGGGGGGGCAACGCTCTCGTGGTCTAGACATTACGGTGTTCGCCTCTCATTCAATAGGTCCCAGTTTTGAAAACTGGCAGCGACGAAACATTTTCTCCTTTCACCTCCTTTCCTGCTCTCTAACAATGTTCAGTCGTCTGCTTTCGTCTTCACTTTCTTCACCCCGGGTGAAAATAGAGGTGGCCTAACCCAAACCTTTGATCTACCCCTACCCCTCAATTTTGCTCTGTCTCATAGTGGTTGCTCGTTACGGAAGTCCTCCCCGGACTCGAGTCCGAATAGAGACATCGGCCCTTGGCGTGACCGTGCCCTGAGTGCGAATAGCAGAAGCTAGCAGAAGAAGCAGCCTTGTTGACTTGAGCCAACTGTGGCTGTGGGATAAGTTTACATGCAATCATGGCATGGCCCCCAAAGGTAACCTCATACTAAACAGTATACAAATAAGTCACAGTCACAATGAACATAAATGAAAATGCAAAAATGCTGTTGTTCTACACTGACACTGTCACTCAGACTCAACTGTGTGGCGAGTGTCGGTTCGTTGTTTACTCACTCGCATGTTTTACTCACCATCGGTAACAATTCGCAATTTGAGCCTCCTCAGGAGAATATTCCACTTGCAAAGTGAAGTTTGCAATAACAGAGCTATAATAAGGGAGCAGAACTTTAGGGGCATTCAGCTTTGCACCCTGAACATTACAAATTGCTGAAATTACAACAGCAAAGACAATCGTTATTGGCGCCATCGCCGGTTTCATGGACGCAGCCATATTTGTTTGGTCATACTCTATAACTCAAATTGGACCAACTGAATTTTGCATCTGTAATTTTTTAGATATTAAAAAAAAAACTATGCGTTATTTGTAGCTAAAAAAACTATTTTTCTACAGAAAATATATCAATTTTGCTTTTATTTCTTTATTTTCTTTTTGACAAACGAATTAAATAGAGTTATATTGCATCATCAATGTTTGCGTTCTAAAGATTTTTGCTCCACAAACCGGAAGATAGAATCCGTTAGTGATGGGCCGATACCACAATTTAGGTATCGATGTCGATACCGAGTACTTTTTCAAGGTATCGATACTAATACCTCGATACCTAATGCTATTGGTAACATACGCCTGGGGTAATAAGTAAAGACAAAAATACAACTATACTTTTCCAAGTATTTAGGTAATCGTGTCTAGACAAGTTGTGACTATTTAGCTGAGACTCAAACAAAAATTATTTGTAAAAGAGAGAGAGAGAAAGAGAGAGAGAGAGAGAGAGAGAGAGAGAGAGAGAGAGAGAGAGAGAGAGAAATACCCAAATATGAGAATAAAAACAAAAATTAAGTGAAGTATGGGAGGAAAGTCAACTTTACAGAAAATGTTAGTATTGGAAAATAAAAACACAAGAGTTCTAAAAAGGCAATTCCATTTACCAGATTTTTAGCAACTTTAAATTAAACCAATGAGGATAAATCAGGGTTGTCAGTGAAGATTTTACAAAATCACTAGATACATTTCATGAAAAACTTCTCTCTTTTTGTTAAAAAAATCACTAGAATAATTTAAAACGCTTGCCCCCTACGAAAACTTATCAGTTTTGATAAACAAAAAATTCTCAAGGCCCAAGTCACTTGCTTTGGCAAAACTGGGATAAATAGCACATAGGTATCGATGTTTAGAGCAGGTATCGGTACCGATACCGATACCCATAGGTATCTAAGTATCGAGTACCTGGTATCGATACCTGCCCATCACTAGAATCCGTATCCAAAGGTCGTTTCAGGTCATGAGGTCACGATCGAGCGAGGTCAATGGTCAAGGAAGGATTTCGGCCTATTGTTGATGTTGAATGTGTGAATGTTATACAAGTGTAATATTGTGTTTTCACTCGTAAGGAAATGCCTGCAGGTAAGGTTTTCTTCTTCTGTCTCTCTCTCTCTCTCTGTCTCTCTCTCTCTCTCTCTCTCTCTCTCTCTCAACAAGAAAACACACCTCTGGGGCCGGTGTGATAAGCCAAAATCACTCTTATAGTAAAGTGTTAAACCGGCACATGCGGTAGGCCCTCTATGCTACAATGCCTATGTTATGGTTAGGCTCGTTTGCTGTTGTCGTTCAGTTGTACACAATCACAAATGCCATGAATTGAATGAGTTCGATTACCTTTCAGGTTTCAGGGAAGTATATTTATGTCATCAGGTATAATAATATTATACTTGATAACAGGACATACTATTCACTGAGTGGGACCTGATCCTACTTGCAGTTCAGTCAGCTGTGGGCAAAGTTGACAGTTGACAGAATTAAGCTACTCAGCCACTATAACTAATTGTAGACTCAACAGATTGTAGATCTAGATTTTTTAAAGGTCAGCACTATAATTTCTCAGAACGCTCGGAAAAATAAGCTAACTCTATTTCTCAGAACGGTTTCCGTTCTCGAGATTTGTTGATAATTGCGAGTGGAGTGGCCTGTGTGTGTGTGTGTGTGTGTGTGTGAGAGTGAGTGTGTGTGTGTGTGTGAGTGAGTGCCGTATGTGTGTGTGTGTGTGTGTGTGTGTGAGTTGCCGCCGGTCAATAGATCGATTCCATCCCTCCTGTCAGCACGTTATGGCCATAATTGTTGCAACTGAGTTCAGTGCCAGATGAGCCTTCCTGTACTTCTGATTGTGACTATGAGGAGTTGGCGCGCTGGTGCTGTCACCTCTGACACAGAAATTCCTCCTTCTTCCGTCACTGGAGCTTTCATTGAGTACTGTAGTGGCTGTATGTCCACCTATGGTGAATCGCATCCTGAAAAAATGATGACCCTGATTTGTGTTTGTGCAAGGCCATAACGTGCCAACAGGGGAGGTGGAAAACTGTGGAGAAGCGGCATTTGCAACTATACGTGGCGCCGGAGAATAGCCATAGATCTATTAACCGGCGTGACGGTGGAAAATAGTCACTTGCTAAATAAGTAAATTCATTATTTGGCCAATAATCAATCGAAAATTAAAAGTTTACTGTAATTTTTGTAAGCTGAAAGCATTAATTGTGCTTTCTTTTCAACATTCAGCTTGCTGAAACAGGGGAATATTCACACAGAACAGACGAAAAGAATAAATCAGCACATTGCGCTTCTGTGCTTTTTGCTTATCTAGAAAAGTTAGAAAGCCCAATTCCAGTGCTGTCATGAAACACGTGCCGTTAAGTGCTCATATATATGCTGGGCCTATGTGAACTAACTTAGCAGAGATATTAGGTAATGGCCAATTAAAGGTCGCACGAAAGATATAATTCTTCGTCCTCAAGAAGGAACCTTTAGCCAGCTCTGGTCAACAGCGCAGTTCAAACCAGTATAGCTTCTGCTGCTTTCTTTGACAGGACAGTTGAATTTCCCAATCGCAATAATTTCCTTTATACTTTATATTTTGGGGGGGTTTCACTAGATGGCATACCAGCATCTGTGGTGTCTCGGTAGAGCACTGGGCGGTCGCGCGCTGGAGACCTGAGTTTGATTTCTGATAAGGGATAAATTTTTATTCAAGCCCCAATAGCACCCTCAATTTTGCTCTTGATGACAGACCAAGTGTCTTCAACGTTCTTGTTAGCAAGCTCACTCTCCCAGTCATATTATTATGCTCCAAGGTCCTCCCTCAGTCTCTCAATATCTGTTTTTCTAAAGTTTCTCCAAGTTACTTTGGGTGCGGTACCTGCTGATAATGACAGTCATAAGCAGACAAAGATGATCACTTTTACCTATACCAGCTTCGACTTTGATGTCTGTAACCGGCTGTTCAGTTTGAGGCCTGAGGCTCGAACCACAGAACCTGCAAACTCACAATTACGAGTCCGGTAGCCTCACCACTACCGACACCACATTATACACGTGTAGATAGGTATTGTGTTGCACCCTCTGCTGCCGTGACTGGGTGTCCGCTGCCGACTCATTTCTTCTTTGCTCCTTTTGAAATATAGATCTTACCTACCATATGATTAGGGGCTTTGCTGAAAGACAGCAGTAAGAAGGAGCCAAGGAGAAGCGGTACAAAGACTGCAGAAAGAATCAGGAGCCCAGTGGAGGGGGCAATGGAGGTGAGGGGGTAGGGTAGAGGCAGAAAGTGGAGACGAAAGCAGACGACAGAACATTGTTAGAGGTAGGAAAGGATGTGAAAGGAGAAAATTTGAGAGAAGAAAATTTTCCGTCGCTACCCGGATTCGAACCCAGGGCCTTTTGAATGAGAGGCGAACTCCTTAACGTCTAGGCCATGAGAGCCCCCTGAAAGGGTTATTGAGAGCAAGATATCATACTCACAGGGCCTACCACTACTATGGTATTCTCTGAGGTGACGTCGGTAATCCTCTCTCTCTCTCTCTCTCTCTCTC